TTTTTTTTTTTTTTTTCTCACTATGTAGTTGCAACTGACATGGAACTCACTGTATAGCCCAGGCTGGTCTCGAACTCACAGCGATCCTCCTGCCTCAACCTCCCGAGTGCTGGGATTACAGGCATGTGCCACCATGCGCGACTCCACCATATTTTTCAATATGCCTGCCCTACATCTCCATGTGGACTCTAGCAGGCAATGCCACATTTTCAGAATGAACTTTGCTCCTCTTGCTATACTCTCTCCTACAGGGGTTTTATCTGCAGTTTCGACCTTCTTGTTTCAACTAAAAATTCTGGCATTAGCCTTAATGTCATTTTTCTCCCACATCAGGAAATCCTGTGGGCTCTTCCAATATACTCAGAGACTACTACACCTTTCCCATCTGCTCCAAAATGCCTCCTCTCTGACTTAGATGATCCCTAATCTATCATGCTGTTTTTATTCTTGTCCCTTATCATCTAATCTCAAAACTGCTTCAACATCAAAGTGACTTCATGGTATACTCTCCTTTCGAGCACTTTCCTCTTCACAGAAAGCAAAAACCAAAGTCCTTCCTTCCAGTGGCCAGCAAGGCCTTCTGCAGTCCTGTCGCTCTCTGCTCTTCTATCTTCCTGAGTGTCTCTCACCACTCCTGCCCTTCCTCGCTTCTCTCTAGCTTGGCTGCTCCAATTTTCCTCCACACTGCAGGAACTCTGACTTACAGAGTTGCACTGGGTGTCCCCCAGGGACCGCTCCTCCAACAGTCCGGAGGGAGGGACATGCTCAGCGTCCTCTCCTCCAGATGCTCTGCCTGAGAGCCAACCTCTCTCTCAGTTCCCAAGTCCTCTTACCATGCTGCTTTTCTTTGTTCTGTGGCACTTGTCACCTTTTGACACACACATTTTTTTCTCTTCTAGTTTCCTCTTTTCCCTCCCTCTGGCCCTCCTTTTCTTTTTTTTGCAGTAGCAGGGATTGAACTCAGGACCTTGGGCTTTCGAGGCAAGCTAGATGCCACTGAGCTAAATCCCTGGCCCTCCTTCCTCCTTTTCTTCCTTTCTCTCTTTTGCAGGACTGGGGACTGAGCCCAGGGATTTCCCATGGAGCTACATCCCTAACCTTTTATTTATTTTAGTTTTTTGAGACAGAGTCTCTCTACGTAGCCCAGACAGGCCTTGAACTTGCAGAAATCCTCCTGCCTTGGCCTCCCAATCTTTAAAAAAAACTTTCAATTTGAGACTGGGTCTTTTCAAGTCACTTAGTTGCCCAGTCTGGGCTTTAACTTGTGATTTTCCTGCCTCAGCCTCCCATAGTGCTTGTATTACATCATAATATTTCTTTTCTATGTTGTTGTTTTAGACAGGATCTTGCTATGTGGTTCAAACTCTTAGCGACTCTCCTGCCTCAGCCTCCCAAATGCTGAGATTATAGGCATACACCACCATGTCTAGCTACACAGCATAATATTTCTTATATTTATTTCTCACATTTACTTCTAGTGTCTCCCTCTCTAGAATGTAAGTTTTCCCAAAGCAAGAACATCATTGACGTATCCCAAGTATCTAGTCCAGTGCCTGGTACAGAGTAAGTGCTCAATAAATATTAGATGAATGAATGAAAAATGTGGATATTATTGTGATGGCTTAAATGCAAAGTGTCCCCCGAAACTCATGTGTTGGGGGCTTAATCTCCAACGCAGCAACATTCATACATGGGGCCTACAGAAGTGACTGGATCGAGGGTGCTAACCTTATCAACAGATTAGTCCATTGATGAGTCCATAGCTAAATGGACTGTCAGGAGGAAGAGCCTCACTGGTGGTGTGCCTTGGAAGTGTGTGTGTTCCTCCTGGCTCCTTCATCTCTCTTTGGCGCCCCATCCTCTCTCTTTCTTGGTCTGTCACACCCTCTACCATGATGTTTCCGCTTCACCACAAGGTCAAAGCAACAGAGCCAGGAGACCATGGACTGACACCTCCAAAACCACACACCACAATAAATCTTTACCTTGATGTTCTCAGGTATTTGGCCACAGTGAGGCAAAGCTGACTAACAGAAACACTACTCTAAAAAGTTATTGTAGAAATTAAATAAAAAAGGCAGACCCAATGAACACCTGATACATGTTAGAACCCTACCTTCTTTCTTCTCTGAGTATCTTCCCAGGCGCTTTCTCTTACAGCACCCAACCTTAGCTCCTCAGCCTATTCTGTAGGAAAAGTGCAGTGCTCATCCCTCCCTTTTTGCTCAGGCTGGTCTTGAACTCCTGGCCTCAAGGCAGCCCAGCATCTCAGCTCCCTGACACTGAGATTACCTGGCTTCTTCGGAAACTTTCACCATTCTAGGATCTCCTTTCAGTTTAAACCTAGGAAAATCTTGCATAAGGCCACATATGGCATCTGAGGATAACAGCTTTACCTATTGCTTCAACTATCAAATTGTCCTGAGAGAAAAAGAGACACCTGTCGGAAAGGCCAACGGTTTTTGTCGTTGGAGTTGGTTTAGTGCACTGATTTATTTATTTATTTATTTAGGTACCGGGCAGGAGGCGGCACCACTGAGCTAAATTTATTGCACTGATTTAAACATAAACATTACTGAGGCATACTTTACATGCAATACACATTTTCAGTGTGCTGCCTTTAATGGATTTTGACAAACGTATAGGTGACTGAGTCAGAGCGAGAGAATTAAAGTCACCAAGGAATATGCAGATCCAAAGACTGAACCGTGAGCTCCTGCGGCAGGGGAGAGAAGAATCCCATCAGGATTCTTGGGAAGCATAACAAAGAGGTACAGGCGCGACGCCTCCGGAGGCAGGGACCTGCCCCTGGGTCTGCACCTCCGGAAGCCCCGGTCACTTACAGGCGCCGCCG